GTTGTGTTTTGGGTGACTTTGTAGGTGCTCAGTAGGACAATTTTGGTGTGGTTTATTTTAATTCTAATCATGGTTAGGCAAGTTTTTGGTGCTGGCTTGCTTTTTCATTCTGGTTAATTTTATGTGGGTGATGAAATCAGGTTATGGTTGGAGGATGAATCATGTATTGTTTGGTACAGGAAGCTGATGGTTTGGTTTAACTATACTAGCAAGGTATTCTGGTAGGTAATTTTTCTGTTTTTAATCGTTAGATCATCACTAACATTTATAGGCTTGAATTTATAGAAAAGCAAATGATAAGATATAGCAGGAGAAGACTACAATATTGGTCTTATAAAACTTCCGTTCATTCGAAAGTAACTCTAATGTTGCGAGTTTGGTGTCATAGAAAATTAATGTTACGATTTTGGTCCGATACAAGTTCAGTGTCACGGTTTTGGTCCCATATCGTGATCTTTGATCATATTACCCAATGTGTAGTATGCTAATAGGTGATATTCGAACACCATACTATATTCTAATCTTCTTCCATTAATGGACATATTACCCAATGTGTGGTACACTAACAGGTAATATTTGAACACTACCCACCATGTATGATATTCTAATATCGTGACACATCAACAAATGGACATATTAATCCATATAGAAAGGCATTAGTGCGAAGACTAATACAGTTCAAGATTATTAACATTTTTTCTTTGAATTTGTCTTTTTTCTTTATTTTTTTTATTTCTAGTAAACTGAAATCTACTTTTCAAATGAACTAATATGAACAAAAAAACCAGTTCAACAGAAAGACCACAGCCACCACCTATAGACTATAGGGGTCCATTTATATGGTTTTATAGCATAAAAATTAAAACCTCATGTTATCCAGGAATTAAATAAAATACATACCAGGTGTAATGAAGCTTTTATAAGTACTCTATGATAAGAAACAAGTTCGGACTAAACTCTGATAGTTATTTCACGCTCCACAGACCGATGTCTTAAAATATGTCGATTCTGAAAAATATGAGGCTCCAAGTATCAAAACCCACTTTTTACCCCTCTTTAAGCAGAATCTTCTCATTCTTAGATAATTCTTTTCACAGAAGAATCAAACGTGCCTCATTTTAGCCGTTTTCTGCTCTGTCATATGCATTTGACTTGTGTTTGGGAGCAAATGTGAAACCAGAAGGCACCTTGCCAAGCAACATCTCGGATATCCTTATCTGCACCAAAAGCAAATACAAATTTATGGTCCATAGAATTTTAATTTTTGTTTTTCTACACAAAGAATTGGCTCGATTTGAAAACTAGTCATTTATAATTATACCCAATCAGCTGCGGAGTCAGATGCCATTAATGTTTCAAGATCGTCACGGCCAAAATATGAGGGTGGCCTCCAATTTATCTTTTGCGGGATAATGTCTAAGAGACCAACTGGAATATATCTGCAAGTGTAACTAAGCCATTCCAGCAAGAAATGCCTGGTGGTCTCGACACCTGCCATTAAAATATGAATGATGTAATGTGAGTGAGTTGAACTATATTTGGCAAGTTGAATTTATCTACATTGATGTACTATTGCGCCTAGAAAAGAAGTATATAAAGTTAGAAACTTCAATCAATCAAAAGAATCTAACTGCAGTAAAAAAATAAAAAAAAATTGAATGCACCCTTGAGAATAGACAACTCTTCTAAAGGGTGCATTCTGTAAAACCTAAAGCAGTGTCAATTTATGTTTATAATTTGAAAAAAAAGAAACAAATTTTTTCCCTTTCACTTTAGACTGAAGGGGTGTCCCTTTGTAATCATCATGACAAGAAAATACATCAAACATAAAATAAAAAAAAATAAACACTGCCTGAGCCATGCTAAGGTAAATGGACTGAACAGGGATATGGTAATGAGAAACTATTCAAGCAATTGAAAGAAGAAATGCATGTGCATGAAAATATGCTAAACTAAATGTCATATACCTTTTGAATCGGAACCCCAATGCTCAAGGCCAAAACGCACATAATCTCTCAAGATATCCAACCGCTCACCAGAACTTATATCCCAATGCCTCTGTTCCTTGATTTCAGTAAATATCCAAGGCTGCCAAAAAAAAAAAATTGTTGAAAATAAGCAACAAAATGATTCATAGAAGTTCAAACTATATTCAGATAAATTCATACTTCCCGACAATTAAAAAAAACTCATCTACAAACCTTGACCAATGCCCCTCGGGCAACCATACAAGCAGAGAGCTCGGGGCAGTCAGATTTGTGTTTGTTCCAGTCCAAATAAGTAAATACATCACCATTCCCAAGAACCTGAAGGCTAGAAGGTGCTGCGCGTGCACACTGATAGATGTAATCCCAGTCAGCAAGTTTGCTGTACCGTTGTTGACGTGTCCGGCCATGTATTGTTACTGCACTAGCTCCCCAGTTTCCCATATCATGAATCAAAGAATCAATTCGGTTTTTGCCCTCAAAATAACCAGTTCGTACCTGGACATGCAAAAAATGACTATGGATACTGCAGAGAAGAAGCTACCTCAAAATTTACCATTTCATAATTGGTCGATAAAACAGTCTAAGCAAAACAGGCAACAATTATTACTTAAAAAATGCAGCCTATACACATCCACGGACCTTTTTAACCTAGCAACTAGCAAGATAATTACTGATAACAATTTCACCTTATGGTGCAAAACGAAAGAGATCATGAAGGCTTCAATGCCCCAACACAAGAAATAGTAATACATGCATATATATGTATATATATATATATATATATATATATATATATATATAGAGAGAGAGAGAGAGAGGCACCTTGAGAGTTACTGGAATGTCCACTGCTCTAGAAGAGGCTTCTACAACACTTTTCATCCTCATCGGTTTTGTAAGGAGAGCAGAGCCAGCACCCTTGTTGACAACGATATCAATTGGACACCCCATGTTGATATCAATAAAATCAACTGTGCAGTTTTGCTCTATGAGTTCAACTGTTCTTGCAACAGTGTCGGGAAATGCACCACAGATCTGGACACCAAAGAAATCCTCTGATGAGTGGCGCCTTAGGAGCGCCCATTCCGAAGCTTGACCCTGTACAGAAGTCCAAATAGCAGAGAGAAAATGGTGATTTCACCTCAGTGAGTCTTAAATTGCGACGTCAACAGAGAATAAAGCTTGTTAACTTGTTATGTAGCCTTTTTTTGTAGTAGTTCAGCAAACACATTGGCTTGGTAAATTGCAGATAATTAACCAAGTCATCAATTGTGTAACACTGATGGCATTGTCCCTCTCTCAATACTCAATAACAAACTATATTACCACAAATATACACATAGAGAATAAATATAAATAATTTTTGTGAACCTGCAAGAGATTGGTGCACATTGCCATCTCACCACATGTGACATCAGCACCCAGAATCTTACAGACACGGCGATATGGTAGATTTCCCACAGTTGTGAGAGGAGCAAGATAAATCTTATCTCGGAAGTCGATGAGTTTCTTTTCCCTTGGGTGTAGCTTTAAGCATTGACCATTGTTTTCCACAATATTTTCATTGATGGTTTCTGATTCATTCCGTTTGCAGCTTTGCTCCGTGTCCTTCTCTTCGGGAACTGAATCTTTCATAACAAACCAAATGACACAAATTAATCCAGCAGCATCACGCATCAACAGACAACAAGTAGATAACTAACCATCATTAAGAGGAGCAGTTCCAGTTTCATCAATCGAGCATTTCGTTTTTTTAGGAGGCCTAAGTTCTTCAGCTGCATCTGCATCTGCATCATCTAATTTGTCCTTACAACAATTTCCATCAGCATCACCAGAGCCATTGGTAACATCATTGTCTTTGTCCCCCATCTTTTTATTCTTTCCCTGCCCCTGCAAGCCCATATCAATGTAAACAAAATGCCGATAAGAGACATTTGAAGGGTTAATCATAGAAGGGGCAATCCTTCCATATTCATCAAGATGAGATAATCCAATGAACGGTAAAAGGTATTGTCCTTGCCACAATCCCGAGAATCTTGAGCGCAGCATCTGCCTTCGGGAATTTCATCTTGTTCTTCCATAAAACCTTCTGAACTTCCTTTTTCAACCCATTCATTTCTCCTCTCCTGTTATCTTCACCATTTGCTTTGCTAGCAACCTCACCATTATCATCCTTATGTGTGCCCGCAAATCTACAAGCCAGACCATAAGGACACGGCCCCTCAATACTTGCAAATGGGCAGATGCCCTCTAAATCATCCGGTTTCTGCATACAACAAAATAACGACGCATCACAATGACAACATAACTAAACTAATATGTTTACTCAGTCGAAACCAGTCAGGTAGAACAAAAAATGAAAAAAAAATATATATTAAGTTTGAGTTAGAAAATTTGTTTCTTATGTATGATGTCAATTCCACTGTTTACCTGAGCTTTGAATGCTTCCAGATCATGACTATAGCGGCATTTCTCGTTGTAGTGACATGAGCTAACATCCCCACTTTTTGCTACCGCTGGACATATATGCAGTGCGGATTTTTGTTCCTATAATATATTGAAACGAACAGCATCACAGATTATCTCATCGTATGAATAGTAAACTACAATTCAAGTAAGCTCCAATGTGCATTGCAAAAGGTGAAGAAAACAGACAGAAAAAGAAACAAGTGAAATAGAACTTCAAACCAACCTGAAGCCTCTCGCGCTTCAGTTGGCGTTTAGATTTTTTCTCCTTGAGAATCGGAGCATCGTTCGCGGCGAAAGCTTTTCCATCAGCTTTGCCGTTGTCGCTTCTATCCTCGCAGGACCTGACGGGCGGCGGGCGGAGGAAAGCTCTTTTCACCGGAGCTATGGCTTTGGCCACTAGATCCTCCGCGCTCGGCGGCGCCGGAGCCGGACACGGGGAATCGGCGGCGGATGAACCATTGGAAGCATTATCAAGGGCTGTGTGGTCTGCCATTGGGTTGGGTTTGGCTACTCGCAGGCGGGACCTAAGAAGTAGGGTTTTGGAGGCGTGGTAAATGGCGGTTAAAGTGCGGGATGAAGAGTAGCTGAGCAAACTGATGTTGAAACGACGTCGTCCTTAAATGACACTACACTATTAGAGCATCTTCAATGCTCCACTTTGAATATTAATTAAATTTAAACACATGTCAAATGATGAATGGAATGTAAATCTATGTAATATGAATGTCAAAAGAGAAGACTTTAATTTGGAATGCACATCTCCAATGCATCCCTTTCAAAAGATTAAAATAGGTTAGATTTTTTATGAATTGGCTTTCAAACACTCTTTGGAAAACTAGAAAGTGAGCTTCACATTTTGGATATTTATTGTCTCCATGTCAGCATAAAAGAGTCCATAACATTATGGATTGGAGAGTTATTTTTGTAATCACTTTATAACTTGATGATGTGGCTAACATTTTATTAAGTCAACATCACACATTGGAGATGCTCTTAGTCGTAGTGGTACTAACCTACGTGATAAGTTATTTTATCTTATAATGGTAAATCTAGTTAAAAGGTAAATCAACTGATTTTTTTTTTTTTTCTCCCCAAAACGATAGATATAAATCAACTGATATAAACTTGAGATTTTTTTTAATATAATTATACTAAGGTAATTAATTCGAGTACTGCAACAAATTCCTACTACATTGAGATCTTATTCAAAACATGTTATACAAAAATACATCTCGATTCTACTTGTGAAAATTCAATCTTAGCTCATTCATATGAAAATTCAATCTTAGCTCATTCATATGTTTAAATGGGTTGAGTTTTGACAACTAATCAACCTTCTTTATTAAACAAGTTGTTTCTGAGTCGAGCACATCCGAGCTTGTTCGCCAACAACTTCATTTTTCTTTTCGGGATTTTATTAAAAAAATCTAGTCTAACTTGTTCACGAGTAATTTTTTTTTTTTTTTTTTTNAACTTGTTTAGAAATTTGAATTATTTAATTAGTCGAGTCTAACGGAGCTTAAACAAAACAAACTCGATCTAAATCATTCATAATTAAATGAGCGCAAACTTAAAATAAACTATTCAACTCATCTCAAATAACACCCTATCCTACAGGCATGTTCAGTTTACTTAGTGTCGGGAGGTAGTAAAATGACAGCTTGGTGAAACTTGAAAGAGTTAGCTATTTTGGTTCCGATTAGAGTTGTTGAACGAAACGAGCGGCTTGTGAGCTCAACTCGGGTTGTTAAGGCTCATTAAGTCTTGAAAAAATAATTTTTAATATAATTTTACATAGTCTAACTCGTTAATGTTGATAAAGGAGTTTTGCTCGGCCCTTTTTTAGCCCTAGATAATTCTCCGAAAACAATATAGTGTGCATTAAAAAGAAAGATACGAAAATGTCGGACCAGAACTTGAGTCTGGCGCCTTATCAACTACCTCGAAAACTTTTGAACATGATTAGTTTTTGGCTAAAAGACAAAAGAAATACTCAGACCCCGTTATCTTCTCCAGTCATACCCAACTTCCCATAATTACCAATATTGGCTTAATGTGGACAGTTTTGAGATTACAAATTTCCAATTAATGTTCAGCGTATTTGCTGTCGGGTGGGTAGGGTGGGGACGCACAAATCCTTGCCCAAATAATTTGGTTTTTCAACATGTTTTAGCCAATAATTTCATTCCACAAATCCTTGACCAAATTAGAAAATTCATCATAATTGCGTGCAAACAAGGTTAGTCAGAACACAGATTACATAAAACGAAATCAAAACGAATCATATCATTTGTTTGGCCATACCATTGTGTGTGCGCGTGTGAGAGAGAGGTATAATATATCGTCACCAAAAGTAGCAAAAAAAGATGGAACTTAAAACATTTAATAATTAATCCAACAAAAAAAAAAAAGATTGACACAACGTCTTACNGCAGCCATCATAAGCTGTGCTGCTTCTTGATTTTAAGATTTTAAGTTCAATCCGGTGGTGTAGTTTTCATTGTGCATTGGCCGAAAAAGCTTATTTGTTCGACTCATTATTATTTGCAGAGCCATTGCCGTTTGATTGTTGTGACTGTTTTTGCTGCTGCTGTTGTTGTTGGTGTTGCATTTGAGCCATTTGCTGTTGGCGTAACTGAAACATTTGGGGGCTGATTGAAAGTTGCTGAAACTTGGAGGTGTCCCCAGCTAATTCGGTGGTTGCAAGCTTCAGGCGTTGTACCTCTGCCGTAAGTGCTTCATTCAGAGCTGTCACGAGAAAATTAAAAAAAAAAAAAATAGTGAATTATTCAGTTCCAGTTGCGCGCAAAATAATCGTTCTTGCTAGATTTAGGCTATGTTCGGTAAACCCACTTGAAAAGCTAGCTTATAACTTTTAAATAAATTTCAAGCTTATAGCTGATGTCTTATGACTTATGGCTGAAAAACTAGCTTATATGATAAAAGTGTGGTTAAAGCTGATAAGCTAGCTGAAATAAAAATTTCAATAGACTTTTATTTGAAAAGCTACCCAAAGAAGCTTACGAGATTAGCTCGAGCTTTTACTTGTCCTACTAAACCAAGTTTATTTGAATACATGAAGTCTATAAAATAATCAATTAAGCTATAAGCTAGCTAATATGCTTAACAAACACAGCGCACACAACCTTACTGTTAAGTGAAAAGTGACGAGACACAAAAAACAGACAAGACATTACACTAAAGATTATAGCAATATAAAGTAAACTTAAAAAATAAGGCACGCGTGTTGTAAACAAAGCCCTGGGTTGTAAAAGCATAAGTGGAGGAATTAAAACCAACAATCAAACTGTACGAGAAGAATTTTAATCTTTAAGGCTGATAACATGTCCATCAAAGACAGATGATCATGTGTGTGTACGTTGATAGTTGAATACTTGGATTGCTAGTAATTTGGGGAAGAAAGTAAATTTTCTAGCATAGTACTTGGATCCCTAATATGCGGTCTTAGTTCTTATATAAGAAACACAAACAGTTTTCTAACTCAATTGTGTATAAACTATACTGCCTATGAAAACACTACGTATGGCCCTTTGGTATGTCCATTTTAATACCTATATTCACAAGCACATATAGTACAAAACTGATTGGAGTCCCACATTTCTAGAACAGAAGAATGGTATGTGTAGAAAGTTAGAAACCAACTGGAATACGAAATGAAAGATTATATATTATATATAAAACACAAAACTCATACCATCTCGGAGTTGAGCCTGTTGTTCCATGGCCTGCAAGCGAAACTTCAGCTCATTGTTTTGGCTAGTCAGTCCAGCAGAATCTCGCTAAATATACCAGAAAAATGAAGTTAGCGTCAATGGATTAAAATAATTATTCACCAAACCCAATAATTAAATAAAAAAAAATTAATAATAATCCTCACCTGAAGCAGAGTAAGTTGGGCAGATAATGTAGTTGCTTCAGTCTGTAAGGTCTGGACCTTGTGCTCCAACTCTGCTATATATCTCATCTTTCTCTCTTTCGAACGAGCAGCCGATTGCCGATTGGCTAAGATCCTAAACCCAAAACAAATCCAACAAATTAACTATATATTACACGTGTGCATCATTCCTACATTGTAAAGAAGGTGAACACCTTCGAATAAGAAAAAACGTTTTGTATCATTTTCGTTTATTACCTCTTTGCACGCTTGGGATCACTCAATGCTATCTCGGCAAGCTTCTCATTTGCCATGATCTTCTTCAGCTCCGCACCCGTGAACTCACCGTTACCAAACTCCAGGCTAAAAGCATTCGAGTTCGTATCCACCGAATTAGTCGGCGACAGCTGGCCAGGCATGGGCCCCGGTGATGGGGGCATTTTCGGCGTTTCGTCCCCGAAATTCATCTTCCCCATAAAACTATCCATGGACACACTCCTATAGTGACGCGTGGTTGGGGCAATATCTCCACCCAAATTCCTCTTTCTCTGCAAGCTGTTGTTCCCATTCTCATTAACACTGCTGCTTGTGGCCTCGTTATCACTACTGTCACACCCGTTCGTCTTGGTCCCACTTGCCCGGCTACTCTCCAAATCCTCTCGGTTATTATCATTCCCAAGCTTCTCGTCAGTCCCGGAAGAATTGAAGGCATCGATGTTTTCCAAATTCATGTAGGCCGAGAACAAGTCATCAGCAACCTCCCCTTCGGATTTCCTCTCGCCCGAGCCCTCGGCATTGCCAGTCTCCCAACTCGACTCTTTCTTGACCAGTTGCACAGGCTGAGGCTGAGCTGGCATGAGAATGGGCGAAGAGGATTGGCTGACGGCCACGAATCCGAACGGGATATCGCTGTTGGATCTCCGGTGGGCTTTTCGAGGCGGGAGGCTCTCGTTGATTCTTGATGAGCTGGCGGCGCCCCTCGTGAATGGAGAAGGAGCCACGTCATCCATGGAGACATCGGGGAGAACATGGTCAGGAATGGAATTCTGGGCCAAGTCGCGGTAAGGGGATGGGCTGAGAGGGGGAAGTGAGTCGAGAGCGAAAAAGGAAGGCTGGGAGAGGGACCGATTGTGGGCCGGGCTTGGGCTTGGGCTTGTGGAGAAATTCTGGATTCCGGCCTGAGGACGGCCCAGCGGGATCTGTGAGTAAGGGGAAACAGGGGGGATTTGGGGGTGGGAAGGTGGAATGCCGGCCCGTCTTCCGGTGAAGTCGAGGCCGGCGTTTGGGGAGGTCTGGTGGCGAAATTGGCCGCGAAACTGTGGCATGTTCAGTTGGGGTATGTCGAGCTGGTTCATCAGGAAAGGAGAAGATGGTGGCAGCGGCTGGTGCTGTTTGGGGAGTGAAGAAGATGATGTCCCGATTGATGATTGGAATCTCTGTGTGTTAACTTCTTCGTTGTCGGCGGACATTTTTTTGTTGAATTTCAGAAGATTGCTGCGGGTCTACGCGCTGTTTGGATGCAATTCAGTTCTGAAAACCTGGTAATCGAATAATAAAAAAACAAAAATAATCAAACAATTTGACATAAACATAACCTCACAGCTACGCGCTATCATCATCTCAATCGATACAATTACAGCTCGAATAAGGAAATGATCAAGAATTATAACGAAATGCGATTGCAATAGCATAGCGATGGCGATTAGCAAGACAACAAGAACAACAACCTCTCGACTGTGAAGTGAACAATCGAACAAAAAAAGGGGGGGAAAGCGAAAACCCAGGGTTTATTTACCCGACCATTACTTGTGAGCTGAGCAATTTAGCAGCGACGATATGTTCTCCGGCGTAGTTCGCGGTGGCCGGCGATGCTGCCGCAATGATTGTGCGGGAGCTCTCTCTCTCTCTCTATCCACTTTCTCTCTCTACAAACAGAGACGACGACTGGTATGACTATTTACACGGACTTCATGACTACTGATAAGACGCGTGAATTTAATATGAATTTGGGTTTCATTTGTGGTGAATTTGGATTTCGATTGCATTTCAATTTCATTCCGACCGCATGTCAGTGGTCATTTTTTATTTATTTTATTTTTCTCCCAATTTTCGTATTTTATTTCCTACCTATATCATCGCAGCTTATGGTGGTGTATTAATCCGGACAAGGTGTCAACATCTCAAAATCTCTAATCGTGTTCGTTTTGGATTTTTATTTGTTATTCGATACGCTATAATTGCTAAGAATAAAAATGTAAATTTATATTATAAAATATTATAATATTGTTGTTCACAAAATATTTCACTTTGGTATAACTTTTAGTTTTGTCTTGTCTAACATTAATCTTATTGATTCAACTATGTTTTAAGCGAATGATTATATTTTGACATCACTTTTTCATACGACTCTGACGCAAATAATAAGTAAGAGTACAAATTGTTGATTTTTAAACTTAAGGTGATGTATAAAACTAAGTGATCTTGAGACGTGTGCATCATGTCAAATTTTATTTCAACAATTATGTTATTGTAGCATGCCTTTTTTTGCAATTGATATTGTGAATGAATATAAAATGTTTTTCACAAATTACAAAAACAAAAAAAGAATTGTTTTATTTTTTTCAATTTCGTTGACATAATTTAAAAAACTAAAATTTATATGACACTATTTATTCACTAACATATATAACTATCAATCATTACAAATCAATATTTATTTATTAATTACATATATTTTAACTATTCAATTCATTAATTATTAAAAAAATTATTATCAATAAAAAAAAACATTTTTTCATATGTTTTACTAGGCATGATAATATTATTCAAATGTGCAACACAATTCAAACAATTTGGAGTTTCTTTCATATATACTAGCATGTGGTCTGTGCGAGACATGTGACGACTATAATTAATTGATAGAAGTGTTAAATACTAATATATGATAATTTAATATTTAATAAACATGCATATGTACTATATTAAACTTTCAAAATTTCAAGAGTTTCTTTGGCATTTGATATAAACTAGTTCAATCAATGTTTACCTGTGGGAATATATGTGCTTGAGAGTTGAGACATTACTTTTCGCATAATCTCTTGTCGTTTAATTCATACTAGTGCAGTACTCGTGCGATGCACGGAACTTCATTATTTTCATCCTTTTTAAAAGACAATTTTGTATTTAAATTCAAATTATATAATAAAGCACCGATTATTGATTATAATTAAACCTAACAAATACTTATTATAAGATACGTGTAATTATTTATATTAATCATGTTGGGCTTGTAGAATAGGAATGTTTTTGAAAAATGTGGGCTTCAAAAAGTTCATATCGGCCAATTTACAATGTTGGCTTCGAAAGTTCATATCGGGCCAAACAAAGAAAAAATAATCCAATGATCCAGATTAGTCAGCTCAAATCGACGGTTTAGATTACACTGAACATAGTATAAATAGTGAAATTATCGGACCAAGGGCTTCATTTCTTCCTTCATTTTTCGCCGCTTTTAGCTTTTTCTTTCGTCTTTTTTTCTTCGATCTTTTTCCAATTTTTCGGTTCTAACACTGATGATCTTATAAATACATATTCTTTTTCAGTTTTCATTTAATCGATGCTTTAAATTAGTTTTAGGTGTTTTGCACGAAACAAAATATGGATTGTTCAATTTGAGGGTTCTTATTTTCGATTTTTGTAGTTTTATGTTCGAATTTTTGGGTTTTTAAAATTAATCAAAGAATCCTTTGAATTTCAGTGTGCGCCGGTAGATTTTGTTAATTTTAGTTGTTTTCCCCGAAAAAGAAATGTGAAATTTTTAATTTTAAGGTTGTATGTTCGATTTTTGTACTTTTATGTTCGGATTTTTTGGGTGTTTACGATTAGTCAAAAGAACTCTTAGAATTTGAGTGTGTGTCGGCAGATTTGTTATATTTTTTATCGGCAAAATTATTTTGTTACACAAAATTTTTTGGCGTCCAAATGATTTTTTTCTTTAAAAGCTAAAACTCAACTCAGCTGAAAACATACAAATCTGACAATTAATTATATGATATCATTAATTTTAATGAATTGCACACAATTATTATGGGTTATGAACTTGCAAGTTTTTTTTGTCCAAATTAATGAATGTTGATATCAATTAATTTTAAAAAGGATTGGTACTGAAATAAAACTCAAATTTTTAAAAGTATTATTTGTACCAAAATTGAGCACTTTGGTTACCAAAACTAACTATCCGTGATTAAAGGCATATTTAAATATTTCTCATTTAATAAATAAAAAATAAAAATAAAACTTACCTGAAATGGTATGCAATTAATTTTGTCAATTTTTTTGCTTACTATTTTTGGTAAATAGTAATTCTTATTATATATAGATATATAGATTTTATTAGATTTTTGCATCCATTAATCTTATGTATACATATGAATCGGAAAAAGATGTGATAAGCTAGTGTTTTTTTTCTATATATATAAATTTCTTAATTTAAAGAAATAATATATATTCCTATTGTTGCTATTAGGTGATAAATTAAGGTGAATGGATTTTTAAAATATGATAATTTTTTAGAAAAATAGAGAAATAATAAATCATTGTACTTCAAACTTTATAATTTTAATAATAACATCCTTATACTTTTAGTAATGGGTAATCTCTATATTAATAAAGAGACCTTATATATTGTGAAATATTATAGTTTATTTATATTATTTTTAGGAGTTCTTCATATTAGTATAAAAGTATACAATTTTGTTGAAAATTCATATAGGCTAACAGTTGCTACCAAGGACGGATTTTTATTAGGCCGGGGCGGGCTGAAGCCCAGGCCCGTTATTTTTTTTTTTAGCAACTATTAGTTTGAAAATAAAAATATTGTATTTCTAGCCCAGTTTAATAAATCAACTTATTAATCCATCAAAATAAATCACTTATCTATTAAGTCCAAATACTACAAACACTACCCTAATAAAATATTATATATTGTTGATCAACCATTTAATTTCACTAGGCATTAACTCACAAAACACCACTATACACTAAAGTCCAATCAAATAAATTAGTTATGGTCATGCCCCTCCTCTGAACACCGGAACATTGAATTTAGAAGAGCAAAACAAAAATATATATATATTCAACAAGAAAGTGACTATTTTCAAGAAGACGATTTAATTTCTTCTTGAATAGTAAGTTATATATATATTTTAAACCCCTATTAGATATGTGTTTCATTTGTCTAATTATTTTTACATATCTTCTCATTTTAGTTGAGCTATAGTAATTTCTAAGATCATTTGGTTGCAATTCTTGTTTTGTTGACTGTGTATGAAGTAGTAATTGTGTGTATATGTGTGTGTGTGTGTGTTTCTTTTTTTTATCCTCTAGTGTGCTTGTTGTATATCATAATTGAATATAAAATTATGATGTGTAGGCATTTTATTTTGGTAATGACTATGTCATATGAAAAATCTATTTATTTGTAATGTGGAATTTTTAGAAATCCACATGGAACACCAACTTTCGGCCAAGAAAGGAAAAATTTTATTGATTTTATTATTCTTTAAAAAACTTAATCGACGTAAAACTAGTGAAAGCACATCAATATGGTGTAAAATAAGCATAATGTTTTTTTTTTTTGCAAAAGCTCATCAACTTCATTAAATATTTGAAGAAAAATATTATGTAATTTTTATGAAAATGAGTTTTAAAAATTCTACCCCAGTCTATTCTTAATTTCTGGATCCGTCTTGGTTGCTACTTGAACACCACTCTCTCATAAACCCATTTTTTGGTTCCAAATGTTACGAATACGCTTATTTACACATCGTTTTCAATTCTACAATATAATACAAAATTTTAAAATTATAACAGATGTCTTACAACTAAATCATGAATTAAATACATATATTCATGATATAAATTGAATTTTTGTAGGACTCTTGACTCGCACCCATATAGTTAATTACATATCACATCATAATATTTATTGAACATGCATGACTCAGCACAAACAATGTAAATAAAACAATAATATACATTGTTTAATTGAACTATCTTCATTATTAAATAAAAATGTATATAACACGACATAATTTAACATGCAAACGTTTGTCCAGAAAAATAATTTCAAGTTAACTACTAAAAACAACCCTGTAAAATGAAATCGGCTGAGTACGTGAGACAATGGTTTGGAAAATGCAACAAATAGGAACAATGGGAAAATCATCACATGTAATTTTTTCATACAATTCTTGTACTTGAACTTATCATATTGTGATTTTTTCTTATATTTTACTGTAATTCTTATGTTTTATTTTGAACATTTTATCAATGCAAAATGTTAGAGTTGTTAAATGAAACGAGTAATTCGTAAGTTTGGTTCAATTAAACTATACTCGTTTATTATCTTCAATCATATAAATCTTATCCGAACAAATAAAAATAAAATTGTTGCATATTCAATTTTCACCTTATTATTTTCCTCACACCAATTATTATTCGACTAGAACCATAATGATATGAAGTATAGAAGATAATTTAATTTAAAGCAAGTGAAACCGTATATTTTCACTTGCTAGTAATGTAGATGTCCAATTTAGACAAAATTGTACATCAAAATATTGGTAAATACAAAAAGTAAAATGCAGAAAATGAACTTACATTCTGATGATTTACATTGAATCTCTAACTTCCCATAGCTTTCATCTTTTAGATGATTCAAATCTTAATCATCTTTCACAACCTTTTATTTGCATTTTTCTACATATGTTTGCATTCCATTTATTTATTTAGTTGTTGAATAATATAAAACCCATATCTACAGTTAGCCCTTAAATAGTGTGAACTGCCCGGTCAAGATTGAAAATTTTTAAGAAGTTAAGGGGCCATCTTGTGATAATTAACAAAACCCCAAGGGGATAAGAACAAAGTAAATGCATTTCAATCTTTAGGTAACAGCATAATTTAAAATTGGATTTAGGTACTAAAATTGCACAATGACCCACACGGGCTCACAAATGCTGCTCGTGTTAATGATTTAAATTTAATAGCTCATAATTAGGTGGATTACTCGATTTTAAGTGACTATAGATTAACAAAAATTAAATTAGATTCCTTAGCTTTCCCTTTGTAATAATTAGGCACAACTGGTGTTTTTACTTACCAAATCATGCACGAGTACATCAAGCAAATCATTTAGTGTTTGGAAAAATAAATTATTTTACATTTTTAAGTCGTATATACCACCACACAAAATGTAGATAGTTAGTATATTGATATTTTATGACTTTAGAAAAATAAATAATTGATGAAACTAAGTTGAAACGTTTGCTATACCAAGACTCACATGTATGTTTTTTTTTTTTAAGTATGTCATATATGGTGGCTCTGAAAACAATTAATTAAATATCCAGAGAGATTGAATGTTATTACGATATTGACAATAAAAAAAATAAATTAATTATATATTAAAAATAATAGAATTAATAATTATATCTTATAAAATAAAAATTTTGCACTCATACACATTATTCTATATTTTTTTTTTAAATAATCAAATATTGTAAAATTGGAAATACTTGAACAAAACAATAGAGGACATAAGATAACGATATATATAAACTATAATAATAATTACAATAATTTTTTCAAATTAAAAGTAGTTTTATGGAGTTGTAAATAATATTGTTTTAAACATATATATCTTGATTCACATGATTATAAAATTATCATTTTTTTATTTTTTGTATAAATCTAGTGTAAGACACGCATGTCATAGTAACAAATTTAAATGTTTACCTTTGTTAGATTCTTTTATTGTTGTTTGTATATATATTACACAACAAAAATATAAAATCTTGAACTTTTTTATCGTACAAATATTTTATTTTTATACACCTGCACAGTCCCAGTTATTGTACTAGTGATCTAATATTGGTTTATGACAATGGTTAAAATAATTCAATAATTTTACCCGATCGGTTATTATGTATGACTTTCACATTTAAAATATATCCATTTGAAGCAAAAAAAAATAGTATTAGGGTAAGAGTGATTATATTTTACTAAAAGAAGGATTGGCANTAAAATTAGTTAGGACTACACTACCATTACGTGTAATTGATAATGTAAGCATAATGAGTCATTGACCACTAGGGTTTTCTATAGTAAAAAAAAAACCAACAAAACAAATAAATTTTATTGTTTTTGTAAATATTATTTCACTTAACAAATATTTTACATGAACTGATTAATTACCAACTCAGGGACAACGTGTAATTGGGAAAATTATTCACTTTCTTTCTTTTGGCCAGAATTTGTCGCCTAAATGGTGTCACGATAAAATTGACATCAAAATTCAAAAGACGATAATGAATTCTGGGTCCATGTCCAGAGTCAAAATAACGAGCTTTCAATTACAAGAAAGCAAACAAATGAAAGCACTTGGCAAAAACTTATTGATAATTTAGACTACTTTCCCCTTCTTTTTCATCCAAAATTACACGTGCTGATATGCATTTTTTGCAAGGAAATAATAATAATAAAAAAAAAAATTGGACAAGATTATAGATGAAAGGACATTATCGAGGTGTATGTAACATAATCCAATGGACTCGAGCTTATGATGTTTCAGCTCGTTGTAAATATTATTGAGTCGAAACGAGTTCGACTCGTTAAACGAAGAACTTATAAACGAATTTGAAGTCCACTCATTTTATCAATATTATCGAATGATTAAAAAATTACGTAAAAACTCTATTCCCTAGCCTCAAATAGTCGAACTCGCTAATTAAACGAGTTGAATCAACTTCGAACCTTAACAAGTTGAACCCTATTCCCGAGCCTCCAATAGTTGAACTCACTAATTAAATAAGCTGAGTCAACTTTGAGCCTTAACGAGTTAAACTCGTTTACAGAGACAGTTGAGTTAGATTCAACCTTTAACGAGTCGAGTCAGAACTCACGAGCAGATCTTTTCGTTTAAACGGCTACCTTTAAGTTGAAATCGCCTCATCACCAGAAATCAGGTCTATTTTCTGGGCCAGGAACTTCTATTTTACTTTTTATTTAACAAGGCATTAGGTCTAAATTAGTGGCAATGTTTCACACGTAATAGCACGTGAACCCACAAAAATATGTTACTAGTGGAATCATTTCACACTTTAATATTAGCAAGAGTATTATAAAGTTAATCTTTACTCAGAACTAACGTCATGTAGCCATATTTTTTCAATAAATGTGTATATTTTAAAAATGAAATATCATATTTAAAAAATATAATACGTCGACTCGCATTAAGCTACCCCACTTAACAATTTTCGAAGGAAAAATGCACTATATTGGTCCATGAAAAGCAAATTGTTTTTGTTTTGGCAAAACTCAATCTCCAGGATTTCTGCAACACATTTCTGATTTTTGTTCAGTTTTTCAAATATTTGCTAAAATTAAATACTTGAGTGGTCAACCAAATTCGTTTGAATGCATTTTTCAATTACTCTGAAACCACCATACAAACATGTGGTGGGCCTTGGGAGATGACGCTAAAAGATAACATAAAAAAAAAAAAGTAGATATGAACTTGGCTAGAGCTGTTGACATTTTCATGTAATTCTTTTATTTTTTATATTTTCCCAGCCGTAGGCCCATATGGCTGTTCGAATAAAATACACACAAAGTGCAGATAAATAGAGAATGCTATAAAGGATAGGCTTGTATTATCGAGTGTAGTATTATTACTTAATAATTGGCTCAAAAGTTTGTTAAAATGGGATTTCAAAGAAATAGTGATGTCAAAAGAGTTTGTGTTATGAAAATTATGAAACTCTGAACTCATCTGCAAACACACACACACACACACACACGGAGAGAGAGAGAGAGAGAGCAAATGTGACCTAAAACAAGCTATTTTATAAGCAGCACAAAATTGGATCAAATGGAGACTCCATTGGCCTGAGAAATTTCCAGACAAACTATGCATATGCAGAAAGTATGTCTAAGATTTGCAGCCATGATGTTATAGTCGAAACACACACACACACACACACAAAACACACAGATTTCACCCTACAAGCGTGAGAAGTGCACACACGAGTTTCTCACTGTTGGATCACACACACACACACATACCCACAAATGTGTGTGTTGATCTAACGGTGAGGAACTCGGTTTGTGCTCTGCACATACCTATAAGATCGAATCTACACAAACACACACACACACACACAAGGACATATTAATCAAAGGTACATTCTAAAAAGACAATATCTGACTTCCCAAGTCCAATGCTGCAATGCACAACAAGCACACACACACATTACTCCCCAGCTTTGCTATGGTGCCATCAGATGGCTCGGCTTATAGAGTCATCCACACTTATTCACCAATAATGTATTGACACGTGTCTTGCAATAAACACACTTTGGACAGGTGTCAATACATTAAGTGATGGATGGCTCCATAAGAAAACCATCCGATAGCTCCATAGAATTTTTGCATTACTCCCCACACAATAAAGCAAAATGAAAATAAATAGAACGCCACACTAAACTGAAA